CAGGAGACAGATTTGGCAGGCAAAACATAAAATGTTTTCAAAAAAAATGTGAATCGGCTATTTTGTTCAGAATTCGACGCTGATTCCAAATATGTGTCTCTCAATCGGAAATGTTTTGAAACGAAAAACCGACTTATCGATACTACTCCTTTGGACGACTTTTTTAAAACCTCAGGGTAAAAGAGTGTGGACGTCTAAACGTTTTTTCATTACCATAGTTTTTATTGTTATTGTTACTGCAAGTGGGTTGTTATTGTTACTGCTGTGGGTTAAAAGTTTGAACAATTCATCGCCTTTTCTTTTTTTGTTGTATAACTGCAAGAGAGGCTTTATGGCGACGGGAGGACAACATAGTAATATTATTTATGTGTGGCTCGATGCTTATATTAATCAACAGGAACTAAGTTTTAAACTGCAGAAACTATTAAATGGAAAATTTAAAAATGTAAAAGCATTTGAAAATATGAGTGATTGTAAAACGTTTATTGAAAGAAGTAAAGATGAGCAAATTATTCTAATTGTATCCGGTAGTTATGGACGAAAAATTATACCATTGATACACAATTTATCACAACTCTCATCTTTTTACGTTTACTGCTTAGATAAATTAGCGAATGAACAATGGGCAAATAATTACAAAAAGGTAAGTGAAACATTTTGACCTAATTTTAACGACACAGTTGTGGAAGATGTTGTGACGTAAAAACTATTCTTACTTCATTCATCCCCTTAGCAGTAGGGGTTGGCACTTTCCTGTTATCGTTACTGTAACAGGCAACGAAAATCCGTTATCCGTTACCAGTAACAGGATCCAGGGAATACCTCAAATAATAATTGGGTAGAATTATAAGCGACTGAAGAAGACGCTCGATAGATGTCGCACGCACCTACTGTTGCATACAGAGAAAGCCGCAACCATCGCTAGGTGACGATGCATATAGCATCATCTGTCCGAAGTACAATTTCTTGTAGATTGTGGCGCCCCCTGCGTGTGTCACCCGCTTCATAGCACATCTATCCAGCTTCGTCATCATTAGCTTATAATTCTACCCAGTTATTATTTGAGGTATTCCCTAGATCCAATTACCAGTTACTGGTAACGGCAATTAACGAGTAATGGATTTCCATTACCGTTACCGGTAGCGGGGAACGGATTTTCGTTACTTTTCAGAGTAAAGTAACCAAAATGTGCCACCCCTACTTAGCGGAGACAACGATCTTTGATGTTGGTAACGAAATGCATTGTACACGAAGAAAGATATTTGTATCCAAACTTTGCTTCTTATTATAGATAGCACAAGTATGTACAGAGATAAAGGAACTGACTGAAGCCCTTGTAAAGCAACCACCGAAAAATCTCGACATTCCATCCACTCCTCCTAAAAATTCGAACAGTGAATTATTAAATGATGATCTATGGTTTCGTCTTTTAATCGAAGTATTAATTCGTATGAATGATGATTTAGATGGTGAAGCAAAAAATGATTTATTGCATTTGTGGAGAAAAGAATATGGAGGCGATAAAAAGGAACAGAAGATTATAGAAGAATTTGAAAGAGAATTTGAGCCGTCATGCGCAGTACATTGGTTTATCAGAGAGTGTAGGCTGTATAAACTGCTAGACAATGCACTACGACTCATGGATTTTGACAATATTTATGCGTTACGGTTTATAATTAAATATATTCATAAACAGTTAAAAAACCATAGTTTCCGAGATGAATTAATTCAAAGCAGTCCGAATTTAACTTTATATCGAGCAAAAACGATTCCAGCTACTGAACTCGAACAATTGACAACTAATATTGGGCAACTTCAGTCCCTGAAAAGTTTTTTGAGTTCGACATCAGACAGAGATATGGCATTGCGGTTTCTCCAACATTCAAAACCTTCATCAGATACCGTGTCTGTGTTGTTTGAGATTAGAATCGATACAAGATTGTTATTATTACCTTATGCCAACGTTTCATCGCTGCGTTCTGAAGAGGAAGAAGAATGGTTATTCATGCCTGGTACCATCTATCAAATGGATTGCATTCAAAACGACTCAAATCATCAATTGCGGATACTAAAAATGTCACTTTGTGGTGAAGATGATACTCGTTTAAAATATATGGTTGATTACCTCAAATATGAAATGAAAGAAACTACTGATTTAATATCATTAGCCGATTTATTTGTTAAAATGGGTGAATATGATATGGCTAAAGTTTACTATCACAAATATCAAAATTATCTGTCAAATAATGATCCTAATATAAAATGTGCTTGGGACGGACTATCACAGTTATCCGATATTAAAGGAAATTATTCGATTGCAATGAAGAATTATAAAGAAGCTCGTAAGTATTTTAATGAGCAATTAAAACTATGTCAAAATCTACCAGACCATCATCCATCCAGTGGTAAATGTTATGCAAATTTTGCTAATCTGTATGAAATTGAAGGAAAGAAACAACGAGCATTAAAGTACTATCAAAGAGCAGTTGATATATATCATCAAGCATTACCACCGTATCATCCGGATATAACAAGAATTGAAAATTGCATCGAAAATATAATGCCACGTAAGTCGAGTGTATTTTGCAGAAAATCGTGTTTCCATTTCTGTTTTTTCGATTACACAGTATAATGCAAAACTAACTCATTCTTAGACTTAAAACATTTCTGTTTCGCTTTGAATGAATTTGCGACTTGTAACGACCTTGCGAAAACTAAAAGTTCAGTCAGATCTACCCTTGATTTGGCGGGACCGGTCAGATTCGTATAACTAGTCGCATTGAGGCGCTGATGTTCGCAGTTGGCATGCACTGTTTGCGGTTAACCGGAAAGAGGATTATATTACTCATTTTAAGAGAGCATTTGTAAGCCCATATGGAATAACGATTAGGTAGTCAAAACTAACATAAAGTTGCTCATTCGATTCTACGCATCAGACTACGATTATGAAAATCTTTTCAGCCTTTTCGTACCACATCTTCTCCGAGTTGTAGAATTTTGGACGTGAGGCTCTTAGATTTCTCGTTTAAATGCGGCATCTTCGGTATTTTTGAGTGTCTGGAGTCAAATTACATCTGACAATTTCCAGCAGCCTCTCATTTGAAGGAGCGTTCAAAACTGAACACAATGGCATTTTTGGATTTTTTAAGATGTCGGACTTTTGATGGTGAAAAACTATTTCTTGTTTTTTAAAACTTTTTTCCAAGTAATGACCGTTTTCTAAAGGCGCAGGAAAACCTCATGAGATTGAAAGTGCTAGAATATCCGTAAAAAATGTTTTTGAAAAACGTATCAGAACGTGCTGAAAGTTGGGAAACAAGTAGCAGGTAACAAATCGTAATAATTCACCTAATGATTTCAAATTTTAACCATGAAGATGTTATTCAGAATCAGCATCAGAAACTGAACTAAATGGTACTGAATTGTATATTTCAAAGATCTTGCGAAGAAAGCATTTTTTCCGAAAATTTTCGCCTTGCCATAAGACTAAAATTTTACAAAAACGTGTTTTTTGCTCAGAAACACCTGAAAATCAGTTTTTCTAGGGTATAGTTGACGCTTAGTGTTAGCTGAGGCAAAACATCGTGCTCGTGAGCAAAAAACCTTTTTCACACTGGTTGTAGTCGATTATTGCTTATAAGCGATTTTGTTTCAAGCCGGTAGCGATTGCTTCGGTTCCGGTTAAAGGCAGTGCGTACATGCCTAGTTTTCAGTGCGAAGCGGTTTGACTTGTTCAAAAATAACACTGATGCTCGTGCTATACATGAGACATTGTGCGATGTTACAATTTTAGTTTGTGCCCTTACCATTTTAGAAAGCAAGACAACACTATCGTCAGCAAAGGCAAAACCGACTGCTTTAGTTGAACGAACAACAAACGCAATCACGAATCTTGAAACTTTTCTAATCGTTTGGTTGGATATTAATGTAATGAAAACGAAAGATAATTTAGATACGTACAATGAATTGCGTGCAAGTATTAATCACATTGAAAGATTTAATGATTTACAAAAAGCTGAGGAATATATTATGAGTGTTCAACGTGAGAAAATCGTTTTAATCGTCTCTGGTACTTATGGACGTGAACTTGTACCACGTCTACACGATTTATCACAATTAAATTGTATCTACGTTTATTGCTTTGATAAAGCCCGTAATGAAGAATGGTCAAAAAATTATACAAAGGTTAGTTTTATAATTCATCATCAGCAGCGGTGTGATCGTCAAAGAAAGCATGCTGAAAGAAAATAATCTCGTTAGATATTTAGCAGTAGTGCATAAATAAGATTGGAAAGTCGTAAGTTCGATCACAAAGACTTTGGAACAAGACCTGTTAGAAGAGGTATGCAGCATCGATACAACACAGCTTTGCCCTTTTCGTTTTAGGTTCGATCAGTGACAATTCGACGTGAAGAACTAATTGAAAAAATTCATGAAGATCAAAAACTTCGTAATCTAACTGAAGATCCCCTACCAATAAGTATTCTTACACGTATGGCAATTGCTAAAGAAACAACAGCAAAAAATATATCAAAAGAAATGGGTTCTATTCTATGGTTTCAATTATTGGTTGAAGTATTACTACGTATGCCACATGCAGATGATGCTAAAAATGATTTGATTCAAATATGGAGAAACAATTCTACGGGAAATTCAACAGAATTAGATATCATTGTTGAATTTGAACGTAAATACACCAGTGAAAAGGCCATTTGGTGGTATACACGTGAATCATCATTGTATCGCATATTAAATAAAGCATTGCGCGAACAATCGATTAATATGATATTTTCATTTCGTTTTTTTCTGAATGAATTATCGAAACAAGTCACTGAACTGTATAATCATCGTACAGAACAAAATTTAAACGATGATAATGATCACACAATATACGTTTATCGTGGTCAGGCAATTGCTAAAGAAGTACTGGAACAAATACAACAGGGTATTGGCGGTTTTATTTCAATTAATAGTTTCTTCTCAACAAATCGAAGTAAAACAATAGCTAAATCATTTGCTAAACAAGCAAAGATTACTGAACATACACGACGTATACTATGGCGAATTACAATCGATTGTTGTTTATCAACAAAACCCTATGCTGATGTTGAACATTTTACTTTTTATAAAACTGAAAACGAAATCTTATTTATGCTCGGCTCAATATTTCGTATCAATAATGTTATTTTCAACGATAAAGATCAGCTGTACGTATTAGACTTGACTCTCTGTGCTGAAAATGATTTTGAATTAAAAGAAGTATTTGCGTACTTAAAAAAATATATTGGAGATGAAACATCTATAGTTTCATTAGGAAATATTTTAATTCAAATGGGGGAATATGATAAAGCTGAACAAATATTTATAAAAGAAGATCATAAAGAAGGACTAATAACAGTCACAGAACAGAAAGGAAATTATTATTTAGCAATAAAAGATTATCAACGTTCCATTGAACATTATGAAATAGTTTTGAAGCTACGTCAAGAAGTTTTTCCTATTTCACACCCAGATATTGGCAAAAGTTATTGTTCACTGGCAATGGCCAACGAATTTTACAAAAATTATGCAAACGCAATTGACTATTATCAACATGCTGTCAAACAATATCAACGAACAATGAAAGACAATCATCCATTAGTTATACAAGCTAAACATAATTTACAAAAATACATCACTGAAGATAATCAGACCACGCATCTTTAGTATGCATAAATCCTATATTTTGTTTTCTACATTTCCTTTAACGGCGAAATTGTTAGCAATATGTATTCTAGATAGTTTTTTTCTCACCTTACAGGTCTTATATACATTAGAAGAACAATCCGGAAACGTTTATGTAAAATCCGTAACAGAAAACTCATTTAGAAACTGTGTCATACAGATTTTCACAAATATATTTACTCTTCTTTTTGAACCCTAATGCGCAACTTCGTTCAATAAGCAAATGGTGTATGCTCAATAAAATAGTACATTCTAATTAAAGACTTTCTTTCATTTCTATCTTCCTTATTCTGTTGCTCTCTGACTTCTTGTACTCAAGCAAAAAATTAAAAACTAAAGCTAAATGTTTCATATTTATTATTTGCATATATTCCTGTTCCTACCTACCTACCTACCTACCTACCTACCTACCTACCTACCTACCTACCTACCTACCTACCTCTTCTTCATTCCGACATTTTTACCAGTGTCAATCAGTTTAGCGAGTACATCACTTACTGTTAGTGGTTTGTACAGTGTACGATCATCTCTTTTGCTGATTGAGTCGTTGAGCGATTTATTTTCGAAACTTGTTGGCACAGTTCCACTGTTGATGGGAGATATAAATGCAAAATTATATCGTGTAAGAGGCATATTATTAGTTGTCTTTATAACAACTGCTTCTGAAATATTTTTATTACCATAATTCAACGTTTCAAGTTCTCATGAACCCATTTTCACGAACATTTTGAAAAAATTGCGTTGACAAAAGAAAAATTACAAATTACAAGTGTTATTTCAGGTCAGTTGTATGTGCTATGTAGTTACCTAGATGTCACCATTTTGATGAATAATGTTGAGAGAGAGTTTATTTTTGAAAAACAAACAAACCGTTCTAAAAGGCGCTGGACTCAAAGTCTTCTGCCTGGTGAAAGAAAAAGTCGGACATTGGAAATTTCAAGATGTAAACGCACACATTTCAGTTAGCGTATTCTGTACAGAAGTGAGAAAGTGGTAGATCAAGTATATTGTTTAAATCTATAGTCTGTCTGGAAATGTTCGTTATCCTGATGTTGCCGTTTATGATACATTTTTCGAGGTATCGTTCTGTAAGCTGTCTAGTATAATCGAGCACGGATGTATAGTTCAATTGTTTATTAACGTATTTGCTGGAGGTGTACGACGGTAGGCGAAGAACAGCACATAGAGATTTATCTTTTATGATCTGAGTAACTTTCCAGTAGTTTGTATGGTTTAGAAAGATGGTACCTGCATAGGCTGAGGATAGAACGAACCAAACTCTTGTGTAGCATGTCAAGAGGTCTGACAGATTGTTCTTCTGTGTTTCTTGCCAAGTATTTGATAAGTTCAATTCTAGAAGATGTTTTTTATTTAATACCTTGCAGATATTTTTTGAATTTTAATGATCGGTCGAAGGTGACTCCAAGATATTTTACCTTTTGTTGTTGTTCGATACAAAATCAATTTCTTCGATGTACAGTTTTTATATTCTATTTCCGCTTGCCTGTTTAAAACAAAATTGTAAATCCACAGCCAGAGGTACTATGGTACGTTCATTTTCTTCAACTTATAAAGCATCCTGTGAGCCATACATTGTCGAACGCTCTTTTTATATCAAATAAAACTAAGCCATGTGCTTGTGTAGTGTTACGTCAATGTTGAGTTTTAGTTGCACGAGGCTGTCGATCGGACCTCGTTTCCGGCGAAAACCAGACTGACAATCTGATAGATGATTATCTGCATGAAGATAGAGCCGTTCTTTAACAATTCTCTCCATCACTTTTCCCAGACAGGAGAGTAAAATGATAGGACGATAAGAGGATAGATCATTTGGATCTTTGTCTGGTTTTAAGATCAGAACTAGATGAGCCAATTTCCAGTCATTTGGAATAAAACTCAACGAGAAACTACTAATAAATAGAGCCAGTAAGTGTTGTACAAGGAGATTGTTGTATCGTTTTAAACATTTGTTGTGGATACCATCATGTCCGACCGCTGTATTTCTCAATTCTGCAAGAACACATTTGAGTTCGCGCTCCGTTATTTTTTGGTAATCAGATTGTTTATATTTCTTTAATCTTTCCGCCTCTATTTCCACTTCCCGTGCAATTGCCACATGGTCAATACGTGAATTTGGCCTACAATCATATACTTTCTCAAAGTATTCTCGAAATAGTTCCACTTTTTCAACATCAAATTTGGCATTAGTGTTGTTATACTTGATTGCATTTTTTATTTCTCTACTCATTCGCTTACCATGAAATTTATTTACTACTGATCACAATTTTTGGCTGCTGATCTTAGGTGCGGACAGAGTTTTCATCATCTGTTGAAACTGCAGTCGCCTGTCATTTTTGAGCGAGTTATTAACAAGACGTCTGCATCTACAGAAGTTGTTTTTCAATGCCTCGTTTTCGACGTCTCTTTTCGTTTCTTTGTAGAGTTTATGGTTTTCTTTTATGAGATTAAGCGTCGTTGTTGACGGTTTAATTACTTGTCGGCGGACAAAGTTTTCTGGTTTAGGTAGCGCTATTTCAGTTGCATGTACAATATAGGTCGTGATGAAACGACTGTATTCAATAAACTCATCGGCTGTGTTGAATTCCTTGGCCTCTGTTTGCCTTAGTTCCCGGTTTAATGCCATCGAATAAACTCGCCAATTTGCCTGACTGAACATATATTGAGGTCGAGCACATTAAGGTTGACGAACATCAGAATCAACAGCGAGTTCAAACGTCAATGGATTGTGGCCAGTTTTTATATCGCCTAATACCGAGTGTACTTCACAGTGATCTTGTTGGAGAGATGTTTGCACATCTGCCAACATTCAATCTAATTTTTCGTGATATGTACCCTTTTCGAAAGTAGATAACCCCCCCTCCCCCCACCCCATAACAGAAGACCACCTGGTCTTTTATTTTGTCTCTCAAGTCAAGTTCTAAAGGGTGGTCTTCTATTGCGGTCAAATTTTGTCGCCTGCTAGTAGTCCAACGGTAACCTCACGTACCTGAAGTCCGTCCCCTATTAGAAGTACATTTTGGCGAAATTTTTTTGAAAATTCCCCTATAGTATAATATTACTATAATTTCCCCATTTTCCGATTTCTTTTGCGGACATAATAGAAGACCACTGGTCTTCTATTTGGCTTTCAAGTCATACAATCGGCAGTGGTCTTCTAATAGGGGATTGTCTTCTATTATGGGGGGGGGGGGGAGTTTAGTGCACTTCCAATCACTTCGATACTAGTATCAATCATCCACTCTTCTAATATTCTGCCGCTTTTGTTTGTTGTTTTGCATCCTAACTGCCCGTTTTTTGCATTCAAATCCCCCATGATAAGGAATCTGTGATGGAGATTGATGATTTTTTTTAGAGCTTTTTTAGAGAGATTGACCTGAGGGTATGTATAAATTGTTCCGATGATAAGTTTTTGTTTCAATCTTTCGTTTTTGGGCCTTTTGTTTCTAGGTAACTGCATAGAACATACAACTGACCTGAAATAATACTTGTAATTTGTAACTTTTCGATTGCCAACGTAATTTTTTCAAAATATTCGTGAAAATGGGTTCATGAGACCTCGAAACGTTGAATTATGGTAATAAAAATATTTTAGAAGCTGTTGTTATAAATACAACTGATATCAATGCATATACATTCACGTAACACTGCGAAATGATGTCTGCACGAGGTCGAATGTCTGAGAATTTTGTCTCGATTTTCATTTCAATATAAGTAAAGTCAGTCAACCCACATCAACTCGATTAAATCCGGTAATTGATATAGTGTGTAGCTTGAAGGCTGTTGACAACATATCCGTCATAATCTATGGAACTACTGATCACTTTCGAGTACATTTTGTAGGACCGTGGGCCACAGATTCAGCCTATGTTTTCCCAGATACCAGTTAGAACGTTTACGATTTAGTTCTCAATCTGTGTTTTCAACCGTATTTACACATTTGTGCTACCGTTTGCCGACTGACGTTTTTTTATCTTTATTAAGTAACTTTCTAAGCTCATAATCGAAAAAGAATACAAATCATTCAAAAAAATCATATAAAAAATGAGTGACCTAAAAAAATTAAATCCTTCTCCAAATCCATAGTGGTAGTCAGGACGAAAAAATGTGGCTGAATAATTTACATAGAATCCTAACGTTGAATCTAAATACATCCTTACTTGGTTTGACATAACTGTGTATTGTGCTGCGGTGGTTGTAAAGATTGGTGTTGGTATGTTTAGTTCTATTGTTGATTGTATTGGCCTTAATTCTAGTGTTGGAACGGGGCTCAAGTTATTTCGTTGAGAATCATAGACATTAGTAAAACTTTTGAAAAACTTCTGCAACATTGAAATATACATTATTATGATTGTGTATGGTTGTTTTTCCACATTGTTTGCTAAGAATGCAGTAATAAGTTGATATTGTGAAAGACATAACTAATTTTATTTTTATTGCACATCACCAAGAATTAGAATTGATCGGACTATATCAAATAAAAAGCAGCGTCACATCTTGTGCTAAAGGCAGCTAAGGCATAACCCCATAAACGTGTCTTCCCAAAATAGAGCAATATTTGATCATTCTATACTATATCTTGTGTGACAGTAACATCTATTTTACATTCTTTTTCTATTTCCTACAAGACGGAAATTTATAAACTTTTCCATTACTGTACCGCAAAATTTCTGTTGAAAAGTACATTTGTGTAGCAAAAATACAGCATACAGTGGCAACTTTTCGTTAAAACGGCGAACGCAGTCACATTATTTAGAACAAAAGTGTACTGTTTAGCATTAAAGAAACTTTACTAATGATCGATTTGATCCTTGGATCAACAGTAGATAAAAAATTCTGATCTAGTCGATTCATAACGTAGGCAAATGAAAGATTGAGAGATGGAGAAGCTAAGCCAATACTGCCACCGGCACCTAAACAAAATAAAGAACGAGCAAGATGGAATTAACATGAAGTGGAACATG